AAACTGGAAATTATATTGAACTCGCATTACAAATCAGCCACCGCTGTTTTTTGTTCCTCGTTAATCTTATCGACAAAAAAAGTAAGGTAGCAAATTATTCTGAAAATGTTTGAAACAAATTACGAGGATTATTATTATTGTTGACCAAATCAATTGAAACCTATTGGGATTGGGAATTACGAAAATCCTCAGTCAAAGTTGTCATATCAAGTGGTGACTCTTTAACATTATGGAGCATGCTTTTGTGAGAAGAGTTGTATCTTTCGCCGGTTGCAAGGTACTCGAGTACAGTTTCATCAACCTCCGTTGATAAAGGGGCACGTTGACAGCTTGAAACCAGAGAAATTTTGCACGACATATAAATGTTTACAAAAAGCGCCTCCAGCTCCACTGGCACAGTCACACAATGAACATTCTACTATCACTGTATAAAATAAATTTGGAACTATTGTAGCATGTAAATTTTCACTACTGTATATTTTGTCTGATTCTATACTATTCTGTACTGCTGAGCACATCTATTTTGTCACAATAACATGGTTAACATTTTTCAATAACATAAATTGAACTCAATCTGCTTCATATTATTCAATTATTCTCAAACCTGAAATGTGGATACACACCTGAGATTTCACACTGTACATAAAATAAAAATACTATTTCTATTAATACGTTGATATCTCTTGCAATATCTGCTTTGTTGTGATCCAAGTAAAAGGATGATTCGGATGCAGAGACATTAATTGTCATACTCACTTTTCACACTGCTATTTCCACTTGAAACTTCATCACAGTAGGACCGTAGGTATTGGATTTTCCAGGGATGCTGAGGCGGATGGTTCCACTAGGAATTGACCATTGTGAATCAATTAATTTCGTTTGGCATTATTTTCGTGATTGATGTATTTGATGAATTCAGGTTGATGTTTTGATTTTGTTGATCAGTTAATTCGCTTTACGTCAATTAGCTGTCGATCACGACACCATGTCAACAGTGTCTAACTCGTCATGCGCCAAACGCCAATTCGGAATGATGTGTCGAACCAACATAGCCGAGTATTCGTGAAGAAAACGGACCAAAGGTGTGACGTCATTTTAGTTATCAATTCTGATGGGTTCAAATAGACATCTGGAAAGAATCAAGTCTCTGGAGGGAGTAGCGATAACATCTTTTATTTTGGATATTCAAATTTTCCACCAATTTAAAAGCGGAAACTGTTAATTCGTTCTCGAAGTTTCTGGAATGTTGGAGGAGGGATTTCCTTTCCGGTCGTGAGACAAGAGGTTAAGTACTTCAAGAAATTTTTCGTTGTGGTCAAGCGCCATTTTTGTGGTGTGAACCGGCTTCTGAAGTCCTGTACCGCCTAGCGTTCTGGATCACATCAGGATATCCTGGATTTGTTTGCTGATCTATAAGGACTGCTGGACTCTACAGATTTTTATGGTTCTGGTTTAATAGGCAGTATCTTCATGGTTCATCACCCAGGCAGCCACGTGCCTACCTTCATCGTAATTTCAATCCCCAACCCTTCATAGAAGGTGAAGTCCCGCATTATTACGTTTTTTCTCTCTGCAGTCCAGAAACTCAGAACCTCATTGTCATAAAATATTTAAGGGTTCTACCGGGAGTTTTACCGGGAGTTTTACGGGGAGTTCTACAAATAGGAGTTATACTACCAGGAGCACTATTCTTACCAGGAGTCATTGCTCTACCAGAATCTGTTAATTCTACAATGCCGTCTGTGGCTATATCATAGTCTGGAATCTGGATATCATCCCCTGCTTCTTCCTGATATGATAGATTTTCAAGGTGGAAATACGACAACTCTGTCAATGTCATCTGACATCCATGGATGTGAAGTCAGCACCCCGCTCTCCGCCAACCTTCCCCTCAGCAGCTTCATCTGGTGGCACTGAAGCCATTTTTATTAAGGATAACTGGTGTACGACACACCATACAGGTTTTTGACATGAAATTGAATTTTTATTTTTCGTTTTTATTCACTCATCATGCTCATTGCTATAGTGTGTATAATGGACCATTTTTAAATCATAGCCAGGTCATGAATTTATGAAATCACGCATGAAAGGTACATACTTCCCCTCCACATATGCGCTGGTAGAATTCTTTCATTTTAATATTTTTCTTCAAATCTGCTATGACTATAAAACGTCCTTACAGGAGCTCTTGAGTTTTCAAGTACAATATAAGGTTGATTTATATATATTTTCATCCACATAATAGCAGGCAACAACAGTGTAGTTTATTAACAGGAATTAGGTATCTTATATTTTTTCGATTATGCATATTATTTGTCAAAACCTGTGATATAGATATACGAGTCCTATCATCATAATTAAATGTTGTGGGTATTTTATATGACTGTTTTATATTTGTTTATTGACATGCCACTCCAACTCACAACATCTCTAAGGGAAATTTAGGTCTTTTAGTCTGGGAGAACAACTAATATTATTCATTATCTGGTTGCTCAACTTTCCAGGTAACATTTCATTTTTATTAAAAGTTGCAGTGGCATCCCATCTTTTTGGTTAACCTTATGATAACTCGAACCCATAGTGCCTACTGACGAAGAGCTGCCGTTTGCAAATGCACCTATTTTCCATAAAGGTAGGGCTGCACTATGGACGAGGAAACCGAAAATGTATCATCATCCCCAACTTTAACTATGAGATTTGACCCAAGTTTTTTCAGTTTCAAATAGTGCAAATCGTTTTTACTATGTCTGTTGCTAGCATATGATATCAAGCGCCTTTTATGATAGTTGTCAAGAATGGAATAAGCAATAAAATCTAATAATGCTATTAAAGGCCTTGCATCTATCCAATATGATGTCTTTCAGAAATCTTATTGAGGATTCCACAAAATTATTTGTATTATGTCCTCTAGTACATAATAACTTTCTGTACCAGTGGCACCACTCAGTTCTTCTTCTCCATAGACATTCAATGTTATTTACAAAATTACCATACTTACTCGCATGATGAAATTGATGTATGATAATATTCTTCGCATTCTTCTTGAGACTGTGCAAATATAATTTTTCTGCAACCGACACAAAAGTCGTCCATTTTGACCCCAAAATTAGCTCTTAAATTGACGTTTCTATTACTGACACAAAAATTGGTATGTTGCTAGGCAACATATTATTTAGTTCCTAGGAGCTAAAGTTGAATTTTAATTCCTAGGAGCTAAAGTTGAACTTTAGCTCCTAGGAACTAAAAAGGATCTACTGGACGTCATCAAGAATGAACAACATTGTGATTTGTTCCCGATTTCAGCAGATTTGGCATTTCATACCCATGCTGAGATATAAATACACCTTATTATAGTTTAGTATTGGAATTATAAACATCTCAGTTAAGTATTTTTGTTTCGATCATCAGGGAAGCCTTCAAGATTCAAATAATTGCTTGATCTGTATTTCATTCGTTATTCTCGGGATGGATAACTTGTTTTTGAATAATCACGGCAAGCAATAGTTTTTTTGTCTCAAACAACGATATTGTTTAGTATCATTTGATTATCAAGTATCAGTGTAGTATGGAGAGGAATAAATAATCACTATTATCATTGTTGATATGCTCACTAACCTAACATTTTCCACGTCTTGTTGCTATAGATGGCACTGGCGCGGTATTTGCCATTAGATCACCTGGTCCATACACAAATATGTCACTCTGTGGTTGTATTTATATTGAAACTACAATTCGAACATCCTAGAAAACCAAACCTACTGTTAATGCAGGTAGAATATTCTCACCAAAAGGATTATTTGTCAATATTTGTTGCATTGCATACATATGGCACGGCATTGGTGGTTACTTCACATGTTTATTTGAGTTAATTGTTTCGGTTGCAGAAAAAATAGCATGTTTCATTCGGATCAAAAGTGACTTTGTTCGACTCGCAAATTTGGCTTTCGCTCGGCTTCGCTAAACGCTCCGCCTCGCAAATGCAAAATTCGCTTGTCAAACAAAGTGTCACTTTTGATCCTAATAAAACAATCTACTATTGTCCATTCGTTGCATTATATTAGACTTCAAAACAGTCTGTTGTGACCGATTATATTTTGAATTGACCAATAAGAGTCGATGGAGGCGTTACTTGTGCTGCACAATATTAGATTTAGGAAATACGCAAACGGGACTTGGTGCACAATTTGCCACCGCATGACTGGCAGAGGAAGGACAAAGCAGTGGAGGTTCAATGTCTCGTCATCTCGTACTTTTAACATCTCTGAAATGTTTTTGTCCTCATGATTTTTCGATACTACTCTCATATAACACACGTACATTCAATGGTTATCCGAAGGATGTCCAAAGGATGTCCAAAATAGATTTACGAATATCTATTGGACATCCGATCTGTCACAAAATTGGACATACAGTGGATGTCAATTCCGATGCAGGTGATGGACATATCTTGGACAAGAATAACATTTATTGGCATTGAAATGATATATACTATCGGCCCAACAGTGAATAATTGTACAAAACATTTTTTAGGAAGAATAAGCCTTTTTTAGACTATGAAAATATCAGTGACCATTGTATATAATAACACATCAATATGATATTGATTTCAATTAATTATTTATTTTTATGAAACCACTGAATTCTGAGTCGTATTCACTTCTTCGAATAGACATTTTATTCAAGAGGGAATATTCCGCAGTGCCTTCGTCTTTAAGATTGGCACAGCTCCAAAACTTTTGCTGCCTTCAAATTTGTATTTTCTTTGTATCACATGAAATATGATAAACTCACTATTCTAATGTGAAGAATGATTCGATTAGCAAATGGTATATATGGTGTTATATTTTGATTTGACCAAAGGGTGTACAAGGGAAGTCCAATGGACGTCCTTCATTCAATTCAAATCTTTACGTTCAGTTTGGGTGAAATCTGAATGTCTAGTGAATGTCCCCAAACGAATATCCATTGTGCTTGTGGTACATGGACATCCATTGGATTGGATTACAGGTCAAGCAACATAATCAACACAGCAAACTTAGTACAAGAATGATGAATAATAAGTTGCAATTAAATATAAATTTACATCTCAATTCTGAGGAGAGTATTTCTCAAACAATTTTTGAAACATCCTATGTGTTTCCACTGTATGCTCCAACGAATAAATAATACTTAGTTTGGTATAGCCCAGATTACTATTGATATTTATATAATACCTACTTGAGAATTTGGTGAACGATAATTACCGATAATCACGATGCAACCATCAACTAAAGATCATGTACAAGTAAACTTCCACGAAGTAATATTTGTAACCATGAGCAACTTGATAAACTCTCATAAACTTGGTTTTCGTACAGTCGAAAGGACCAGTTTACACTCAAACATGACACTGATACAAATTCCAACATTCGCTATATTACAATTTGTCGAACCACGATACATTCAGAATGTTTTTATTTGTTCCATTTCAATTGGAAACTCTTTCAAAAGACACATTGGTAATTAGACAAACCTGAGACTAGACATTCATATATTTTGAACCAATTGAAAAAAAAAAAGTATTTATGCACTACCAGGTGTAAAATGGCACTTTATCGCTCACGGACTACTTTATCGCCCGCGGCGTAGGTTATTCGAAATAAGCATTCCTGTATAATTCAGGACATCTATGTTCTAGTTGTGATGGTTCATCATCTGATATTACAGTTCTCTTGAGTACCAATAGAAAATCAACTATACCGGTAGTGCATAAAATGTTGTATGTATTCCGGGCTCAACGTGCTTTTATGGGCCTTCATGGCGTGTTAATATCTCACATACACGATGCGGTCCATAAAAGCATATTTCGCGCCCTCGATACATTGATAACTATTAAGTACCTGTATTTCCCAACAATCTCGCTATGACTAGTCTCGATATTTGAACAGGAATGAATGAATGAATGGATATTGTCTGAAGCTGAATATTGGGTTAGGGAATTAACTGCACGACACACAAGATTGGAGAATCATGCACAGAACGAATCCTCGCTATTGAAGCAAGAAAGCTGCGGTTGCAAAAACCAGTCCAAAGAAGGCGAATCCGGTGAGTTTGGTGGCCGAGTTGCATTTGTTGCCTTGGCAAGTGGTGCAGGTTGCATGGAAAAAGCCAATGCCGTTTCTGTCGTACACGTCTTTCAAAGCCTTTAACTCTCTTTCGCAGCTCTGTATTAAATCGAGGCATCCTCTTGTTGTTATCTCATACCCTTCAGGATCTGTGAATAATGAATTTGTTGTGAAACAAAAACTTACACCACCTACGTGTAGACATCCTCGTAGAGAATATGGAATAAATTTCTTATTTCTGTAGTATGCAAAAAATCTCGAAAGGGGCTATTTTATCCGATTCGAAAGATAATATTATCAATTCAGAAATTCAGAGGATTTTCATTTTTCATGCTCTCTTTCTGGATGTTCAAGAGATATAATTCAATGTTCGACATGGCAAATAGCCAGGATAGTAGTTGCTTTCTGTTGAATATTCAGAATGATATTATGTGCATATCTTCATATGAAGGAGAATAATGCAAATTCTCTACTTCAGAAGATTTTGTTTCCAAATTCCTATCGTGTGTGTTCAATAGACACAAATTCAATGTTCGTCGTGGCATATAGCCAGGAAAGTTGTTGTTTTCTGTTGAATAAACCGCGAAAGAATTGATATTTTCATCACATGGAGAATGCGAAATCTCAATATATTTCTTTATACAGTGTCATTCATAAAGTCGGCATCATATGGGAAAAACTTTTATTAATGACCTATTTTGAAATTCGAGTTGACCGTTAAGTTTCGCTTCAAAAAAGATGAAAAATGGTCTACTCAATCGGGGTCACGTGACTTTCGCTACATGTCAAAAGTGACATTTTTTCAAATTAATCGCTGAAAGTAGGCTTATTTGTTCGAATATAGAAAAAGTTCACTAGAGAAAGTTGTTTCTATTTCAATTTTACACATGCTTCTCAAATTTGATCTTTCTATTGCAACTTTTAGATTTTGATTTTTTTTAACTTTTCGAAATTTCTGTAATATTTGAAGAATTGTTAATTCCACAAAACTACTTCATACCAGTAGCTTTTTCATGCTACTAACTTTCAATTACTCATTATCACTGATTATGGACAGAAATATGATTTTCTTCAGAAAATGATAAAACCCGCTTCCAAATTCTGTTATGTTTGATGCAAAGTTGATATATCGTCAAGCATTTGGAAACGAAATTCATTTGATATTTTGATCGATGGCTTTGGCATCTTTTCAGTACTGAAAAAATCAATTTAAATGAATTTCGTTTCTAAATGCTTGACTCAAACATAACAGAATTTTGATGTTATGTTTGCATCAAACATAACAGAATTTTGAAGGGGAGATTATCATTTTCTGAAGAAAATCATATTTTTGTCGATAATTAGTGATAATTAGTAATTGAAAGTTAGTAGCATGATGAAGCTACTGGTATGAAGTAGTTTTATCGAATTTACAATTTTTTTGATATTACAGAAATTTCGAAAATTTTAAAAAATATCGAAATCTAAAAATTGTAATAGGAAGATAAAATCCGAGTCACATATGTAAAATTGAGATAGAAACAACTCCTTCAAGTAAACTTTTTCGATATTCGAACAAATAAGCCTACTTTCAGCGATTAATTTGAAAAAATGTCACTTTTGACATGTAGCGAAAGTCACGTGACTCCGATTGAGTAGGCCATTTTTCATCTTTTTTGAAGCAAAACTTAACGGCCAACTCGAATTTCAAAATAAGTGATTAATAAAAGTTTTTCCCATATGATGCCGAATTTATGAATGACACTGTATATACATCCATTCTTTCATGTTCATAATTATATCTGAGAATATTCCTCTTCAATACTTCCACCCAATCAAGGGGTTCAAACTTGTACAGGGTGATTCACCATAAATGTCCCCCCCTCTAGCTCAGTTATTTTTGAACTGATTTTAAAATTTGAAATATCATCTTGAATGATTTTTGATAAAGTTTTCTTCCGCTAGATCAGAAAATACAGGGTGTTCGGAACAAACGATCTACAGGGTACTAATTGATTTTTTAAAATGAAACACCCTGTATTTTATTGTATTTTTAGATTCTTCCTGAAGAGCTGATTTGATCAATGCACCACACTTGGGGTCTAGCGGGACTGATTACAGAGATATAGGGTGTTCAAAATCGAGATTTTTAACTTTAGGATTTTTTTGTGACGAAACTATTCATTATCGGTCACGCGGTTTTCATGTCCGTATCTCAACTCCTGATTTACTATCTACTGACATTTAATAATTGGAACAGATACAGGGTGACCAGAAATCTGAATCTTGAACCACCCTGTGAATGTTCCAATTAAATTTCACTAGATAGTAAATCGAAAGTTGAGATGGGAACATAAGAGCCGTAATCATTCCCGCTAAACCCCAAGTGTGATACATTGATGAAATCAGCTCTTCAGGAAGAATCTAAAAATACAATGAAATACAGGGTGTTTCATTTTGAAAAATCAATTAGTACTCTGTAGATCGTTTGTTCCGAGCACCCTGTATTTTCTGATGCAATAGGAAAAAAATTTCAGAAAAATCATTTTAGATTATCTTTCAAATTTTTGAAACGGTTCAAAAATAAGTGAGCTAGAGGGGGGGACATTTATGGTGAATCACCCTGTACGATGAATACTTGTTATTTTTATAGACCTCCAATCGCAGATTCGTGATTTGGTTTTCTCAATTCAGAATTCCCTCCACGTCCTGTATGATGAATATCAATTCATCATACATCCAGAAACAGATTTTTTAGAGTTCGTTTGCAATACGAATTGGGAATTATGTTTATAATAAGTGATGGAAGATGATTATATAACTTGTGAATCATTAAAAATCTAATTTTGAAAATTGGTGGGTAGGAAGTATATCAATTTTTTGATGAATTAACGAAACATTCGTTGTTCTATCACTTTCTGTTAGGACTTATCATAACGAGTTTAAATATACTAGGTTTGATAGGGTTATTTCCTACTATTATCGAGATATCCTCCTTTCAAGTTTCCATATGCTCAATGAGCGTGACAAAGAAAGAAGTTTCGATATTGCGAAGTTGCACCCATGGAGCTTATGGAAATTTCGAACGCAAATATGTTCGTGATCATTAGAAATAACTCTATCATATATGTTATCGCTGAATTCATCATGATAATTCCTGATGAACACAGGGTGTCCCCTCTTAAAAATCAAAATTTGGAGTGGATTCCGGTTAAAACGGAACAAAACTGTTTCGCCAAATTATGAGCAATTCTGTTTACTTGCTACTCACCAATTTCAGATGATACAGCACTGGCTATTTTTTGTGCACTTCTCTGTGTATAAACAATAGTATAAGATTCTAAATGGAGACATCGTAGATATAGACACAATCTCAACACTCAAACACATTTTCATTCACTCAGGACGCTCGTACAAAGATGGCCGTTTATATAAAAGACAACATCGACAAAGTGATTCGTTTTGATGCTACGATGCTAATGACTAAACCTGCTGCAATCTTCGATCACACGATGATTACGAAAACCGATGAGTCGTCGAGGCCGCTTGTGATAAGGCAGATTCCTTAGGCGTTCTTCTCATTTATATACGCGGTGATTTGAACATCCAGCCAGACTGATGATGGTTGTTTCGCTCTCTGAACACTTACTTGTGTTCTGCTACACACTCATGGCTGCTTTTTCTGGTGTTCTGAGCAAAAACACACGAGGTCTCCATTCTCAAAATTGCCTACGACAAAGATTCTGGAATGTTCTGGAAACAATTGATGGAACAATTAAAGAGAGAGGTATTGTTTTAAGGAGCCTCTAGAAGAAAGAAGGGTACGGGAGATCATTCGAGAACGTTCGAGAAGCAAAGCCTAGCAAGGGATCCCATATATAGGGACGGCTGGACAACTGCCGTCAGTCAAGTAGCGAGTGTCAGAGAGACAATCTATTCCGGGTGATAAATCATTTGACATAAATAGTAGTTATAAGTTCGATATAAATTAGTGTTCCTTGAGTAAAAATCAATCTGTTCGAAAATAAATAGTGCTGTGATCGCTTCTGCACCCGGATAACGTAACAATTGGTGTCAGAAGTGGGATATTCTAGTGTGAAGTGGACAGACTGTAACGATGAAGAAACTACACGAGTTGAGTGAAGTGGACGCGAAAGGTGAGTTGGAGGAGAGAGATCTAGATACAACAGGAATCAAGGCAACGCTTCAGCATCGTCTCAAGGAGTATATGATGGGCGTAGGTCAAGATCCAGAGACATTCACCTTCGAGGAACCAGCTTCAGCGGAATCGATGTTTGCTGATGGGATCTCGAAACAGATAACGGCTCAGTGTCAGAGGATCTCACGGACCAGATAGCGGCTCAACGACAGAACATTGCGGATCAGATGGTGGCTCACCATAAAGGCCTGAAAAGGAATCATCATGATGCATGTGTTTTTCGATGTATTTTGTTATTGTTAGATATATAATTTTCAGTGCACTTGATTGCAGAAGTTTTTTGATACTTGCCTAAAGGTGTTAATAGGACCAAAATTTTCATCATTTTGTGTGAAAGTTCAACAGCACGAATTTTTCGTGGCATTTCAGAAAAATGGCCCCTAGAGAGAGAGAGAGAGAGAGAGAATCGTCGTTCTTCCCGGAGGTACTCTGACGTTTCAAAAACCCTATTTACATCAGGCTGTTCGCTCACAGGACACTTCGGAAACCGTGACAGGTGCCTAGTGTGGTGTGGGTAGTGCTTTGCCTTGGAGACCTTGCTTGCTAAGTCCATTACTGGCCATATAAAATTAGGTTTTACGCTTCTTACGACTTGGTCACAGATGTGCCAAACGAATATAAAACGGGAAGAATAAGACGTGCCAGTCTAAACAGCTGTTCGCTAGTATTTATTTGCATAATAAACATATCCCCTCCAAGAAATAATATATGAAGTCGAAAACACATCAGATGAAATCTTTTACAGAGTACAGGTAGGTACCCTAATTTAATTACAATGAGAAAACAGTTTGACGAGAGTTCAATGTAAGTACGATTCATGTTGATTATTAATGGGTGTTGAAACTGACATGGTTAGTCCCAAAGTAGTTTCTAAGTAGGATTTTCAGCGATCAAGTCTCTGAAAACATTGCATTCCGCAGCATAACATGAGTGTATATACCTATGTAGGACAGGAGTTATGAACGATCCACTAGTGGATCGTTACAGGGGAAATCGATGTGGATATATCGATCGTCAAATTTCCACATCGAGCTATCATGGCAGATTTTGAAGAAGATGTTATTCTGGGAATGAACATCATGAGTGCGCAAGGGATTCAACTAGACTTCAGAAGCCGAACACTCAAGGTGGGTGCCGAAGAGATCTTCTTATTTCCACGGGTAGAGGTAGCAGCAGGGGTAACGTAAGAAGAGGATGTACTGTTACCGAAACGAAGCGAGGAAGCGAGACCAAGGCAGTTCCATCATCATGGAACCCTGGACCTAAGTCGGCAAGGCTTTACTGTCGGCAGACGACCATGTACGATTTATCAACCTGAATAATTATCCTGTGACGATTGGCAGAAACGAAGATTGGAACCTGTGTCCCGGTAGCCTCCATAATCCACCAGGTGACAGCGATGGGGCCGGCAAGTCTCTGCTGCAAGTGACTCACTCAACAACCGACAGAAGAAGAAGTTAACCCAGTTACTGCAAAAGTATAGATCCATTTTCATACCAATGGAAAAACAGGTAGAACCAACATCGTCAGTCACAAAATCGATACAGGGGATATCAGACCGATTCGTCAACCAGCCCGAAAATTACCAAAGGCCAAGAGAGAAATTGCAGAAAAAATATCATCCAGGTTATGGAAAGACGGAGTAATCGAGCCATAAAGTAGGCCATGAGCTTCACCAGTGGTACTAGTGAAGAAGAAAGATGTAAACACTCGTTTCTGCGTGGACTATCGCCGATTGAATAATGTGACAAAGAAGGATAGCTATCCTTTGCCTCGAGTTGACGACACACTCGACACGTTGGCGGAATCGAATCTTTTCTCCACTCTGGACCTGAAAAGTAGATATTGGCAGGTGGAAATGGATCCGACAGATAAGGAGAAGACATCTTTCACCATCGTCACTGGATTATGGCAATTCAAGGTTATGCCTTTCGGGCTCTGCAATGCTCCGGCCAGCTTCGAACGAATCATGGAGAATGTATTGAGGGGACTCTCCTGAAAGACATGCCTGGTTTATTCGGATAACATCATCGTGATCTGTAATCCTTTCGAAGAACATCTGGCTGACCTAGAGGAAGTTTTCAAGAGACTTCAGGCTGCAAATTTCACACTCAATCTGAATAAATGTCATCTGCTGCAGAAACGGGTTGACTACTTGAGACATGTCGTAGGAAAGCAGGGTGTGGAAGTCGACCATGAGAAGGTACGAGCAGTGAAGCAATGGTCAGAACCAAGAGATGAGCATCAACTCAGGAGCTTTCTCAGACTCTACACTTATTATCGACGTTACGTTCGAATGTTTTCGAATATCGCAAAGCCTCTGACTCGCCTCATCGAGGAAGCACGTCCTTCCCACTGGGATTCAGAATGCCAGGCCGCCTTCGATGCTCTGAAGAAACGCTTGACCACGACACCGATTCTTGGGTATCCAATTCCACAGGGACAATTCATTCTTGACACTGATGCCAGTAATATCAGTATTGGTGGAGTCCTTCTGCAGTGGATGCTATCGAAGGCAGAACGAAACTACTGCGTTACCAGCAGGAAACTATTGGCCATGGTGAAATCAGTGAAGCACTTCTATAAGTACCTCTATGGACGAAAATTTCTACTCAGGACAGACCACGCTGCATTGCAGTGGCTCCTGAATTTTAAGAACCCCGAAGGCCAAGTAGCTCGTTGGATCGAGAGGCTCCAGGAATATGAGTTCGAGGTAGCACACCGAGTGGAAACCAGCCATAAGAATGTGTATGCATTGTCCAGAAGGCCATTTCCACCCAAGTGTTCACATTGTAGTCATTTAGAGGATAAGGAAGCAGCCCTCTTACATATTTGCAGTACAAGAATCTACAGGACAGACTCCGGCGAAGGTTCTATTCGGACGAGAGATGAGGCTTCCATGTGACTTGGTCTTCGGATGTAGACCTGGTGAGGACATAGTGGGGGAAGAAGAATCTGATGAAGAAGATGAATGATATTCACGAGTTCGTTCGTTCTAATCTGAAAATCGCCAGCGATCGCATGAATAAAGACCGATACGACACCAGAGCTGGAGGTATAGGATACGCAGAAGGTGTGGTTTTACAAAAATTGGTTGTCTAAAGAGACGAGGTATTCGTCCAAAACTTCAGAGACCTTGGAGAGCACCTTATACCGTCAAGACGAAGATCAACGATGTCGCCAACCGCATCAGTAAAGAACCCAGTGGCAAACCAAGAGTCGTTCATTTCAACAGGCTAGCACCATTCTAGGGAACACAAGATCAACAAGTTCAACAAGTACCTCTGGAAGAAAAGAAGCTCACATCTGACGAATTCATTGGGACATACAGTGGTTCATCAAAAGCAAGGTTTGGAGTCACCAAGGAAGAGAATCGTGACCTTTTTGCCACTCCTGTCGAATACGCACTAGCTCACTGTGTCGCCGAAGATCTTCATATGTCTGAAGGAATAGCCAACAAGTTCATGAGGTAATTCGAGAAGTTGGAAGTTAGAGGAGCTTCATCAACAGGGTCCGTCCGTTCGGTCGCGCACTAGAAATAGAAGGTAACAGCCATCAAGTAAAAAGGAATCTGCTTTATCTTATCACTAAAGAAAGATCTTCTGAGAAACCCACTTACAAGGACCTCTGGGAGACACTAGTAGACTTACGAAGCGCCATTCTCGAGAAGGACATACGAAAGATAGCTGTTCCAAAGCTGGCGTGTGGTCGGGATGGCTTGAATTGGAGAATTGTAAGGAACATGTTGGATGTTGTATTTAGATTCACCAGAGTTGAAATTCTGGTATGCTGCTGGAACTCCAAAGGAACTCCAAGAGAGAAGACAGTGTCATGCTATTTCTCACATAGTGCACGTTGAAGAAAGGAAACCAGTCGTCCCTATCTTCATAACGATCAGAGAACATTCCTGGAGGAATGCGTTCTAAAGAGGGGGCAGTGTAATGATATTCTTCTTAGAGGGGCTCTAGAAACATCAGCAGGAAGGCAGGAGTACAACGATCATCCTGTAACACGCCTCCCAGATTGTTCTCCAACATCCCAATGATTCCTACATGTACCAGCCTATTTCCGAACACTCAATATATGTCGCGGTGACCAATAACGTGACAGAAGATTCTGGAATGTTCTGGAAACAATCGATGGAACAATAAAAGAGATAGGTATTCTTCTAAGAAGCTTCTAGAACAATAAGAAGGGTACGGGAGATCATTCGAGAACGTTCGAGAAGCAAAGCCTGCCGTCAGTCAGTCAAGCAGCGAGTGTCAGAGAGACAATCATATACCGCGTGATAAATCATTTGTCATAAATAGTAGTTATGAGTTCGATATGAATAAGTGTTCCTTGGGTAACAATAAATCAGTTCGAAAATAAATAGTGTCGTGTTCGCTTCTCCATCCAATAACGTAACAGTACTATAGATGGAGCACCCAATCGGGTAGATGGTAGCTAGTAAGACTGTTTCACTCATCTTGAAATTCTCATATATTTCGCCCAATCACAAGCCAGAGAGAACTATTATCATGAGAAATATCAGTATATTTTGAATATTCCAGATAGTTATGTCGCTTCAGTATTCACGGAGTTGTGTTATCGAGTAACACCGCGAGTCCCTCAGGGCGAGTAGATAGTATCGCTCTGTACGGCAGCACGATTGAGTTAATGAGAGACATAATTGTGAGGGAATAATCAAAGCAAAGTGGTATCCTGCTGAACTATTTCACGAAGCATTAGAAGCATTTATTATGAATGAACAAGCCATACATCCAATGCGATTCATTCTGACATTTTGACACCAATTCAATAATTATTATTTTGTTCCAACTGACAAATTAAATTTTGCAATCCATCGTTACATCGTTGAAAACATCAGCACTATAAGATCAATCAGAATTGAGAGACAGCTGCTGTTCACAAGTTCTCTTTGGTTTGCGATTGGTCGGATTATGTTAGAATCTCAAGATGACTGAGATAGTCATGAGGAATATTACGATGTTCTGAATATTCGAGATAATTATGTCGCTACATTGTTCACAAAATTGTGTTGCCGAGTAACAGCACGAGTCCTTCAGACAGACAGCAAGAAAGCAATTACTCAAAGAACTGCGTTCGTGAAGTGATAGCGAATATGTTATATGTATTCGGATGAAGAAGAACATGTATGCGAGATGCCGCTGGAAATCATATAGAATCAGCTGGGAGTGAATGAATATAAAAAGGTATTTCATGAATGAATAAGGAATTTGAGACCAGCAGACGGTTGAGTACTTTACGGCCCGTGGATCATAATGTGCTCGCGGACGCTAAACTGCAGCTTCACGCCCGCGAAACCAAGCGATGATTTCCTGCATATTCAGCGACAATAGTCGGATATACCTTTGACTGGCATCAGGCTATTATACTCACCTATTAATGACATCTTGAAGCAAGCAGTGTCAGCTCCAGGACATGTCCTAGTTTCCCACGTGCATTTCATATTGCGACCTTCTACGCACAGATAACATTGCAGGGCATTTGCTGTAAAAGAAGGAAAAAGATTAGTTAATCAGATTTTTGATGACCATTGAAATAATGGATAGCTTATCAGTTCGTTTGAATTGATGTGCATAAATCAATTGCATTCCACAAGTTCAAATTCAGTTTGTATAGTAGTGGACTTTGTAATGGTCTTTATTCTGGGGCCCTTACTTTGACGCTCTGTTCAGGACAGGAGACTACTCTGGTATTTGACAGGGGGGATTCTCGAGCGCCAGATTTTTTATAAAGGTGATTTACTTCACCTGCTCCTCCCAACTTAGTCGGGAAGGAGGCCCAAAGTAGCAACAGTGGAGAAAAGTACAGGAGGTATACCTACCTCGGTACCCACAGTATAATCCAGGGGTCAATGGTATTGAATCGACCTGGAATCAATAAGTAGCCACGGGAGTGTAGGCTTTAATTACAAACCCTGGGTTTAGCCTGGAATACTGGTTGCTATTTCTGGTCGGGATAGTTACAGGAATCAAAGCAAACTATCTATCAGGTCTTTGGTATTTTAAGGTTAGGTCTGGAAAATTATTTACTCAACTATTTCATCATTTCTACCTGGAGAATCGGAAACACAATTCCAAACGAATCACACAGCTTCAATTCCTATTTATATTTCCTTTTCCTTCGATTTTTCTGATTTTCCAATATCGGAATTTTAGTGAGGTTAATTAAATTTCATGAAACATAGATCACCGCCTTACGGGACACAAAGCACAGAGACCCGGATGTACAGGACAGGATTTCTCGAGGAAAAGAAGAAGAAGAAGAATTGTTAACTGGCTTGTCAGTGTCAGTCGTCAGTCAATAACAATATTCTGCAATTTTGACAAATGAAAATATTGAAAATCACTAAATAAATCATTGAACTATTGGGAACTGAAAACAATGACAACAGAGAAGGAAATATGAAATATGCAATCACAAAATCCGTTTATTCAATTTAGAGTTCTGGATGCTTTACACAGGTCGGGTGAGTATCGGTTTGCAAAACAACAGGAATGAAATGGATCTATGAACAGGATGAATAACACTGGTGAAAAATATACAAACTTACATGTGTAACCGGAAATCACTATACAATACTACTTTACACTGGTTTTGAATGAACTATGAGAGCACTAAAAGCTCAGCAAGAGAATCAGGAGCTTGAAGAGCAACGGAGATCAGGTGGTGTAGACTGGTCAAGAAGAGCTTAAAGAGTGACGAATCCTTGGCTGTCTTCAGTATTTATGCACTGCTTTGGCCTTGGCACAAGGACAAGTAAATCTGGAATCTCATTGGTCAAAACTCCCACCTTGTCATGGCTCATGGCCATGGCCACTAAATCTGTCCTTGAAAAACACATGTGCACCTCTAACACAAAACGCGGAAAAAATAATATTACACCCTGAATGGGCACAGGAACAGAATCTACTACCTTTGCTTATGCTACTGAATGAATTTGTCTGGAAAATATTCAATAACAACAACAACAATCATTTCAACTGATAAATAATTCGATAAAATTTCATATCATAAGCAAAGGGTTGAAAAATATTGAAGTCTTTAGGGTTGTAATGATGTTCATCAAAGTTTACTATCTGGAAAAGCTGTGGGAAGTCAGGAATCAATGCATTACTCAGTTCTCTCAGGATTTCAGGTTTCGAGCTTTCGAACAGGTGAAATTCAAGTAGAATCAGTCTCAGGTTACTTAGATTTTGATCAAAACCAGTCTAGTAATGAAGCTGGTCAAAAACACTTCATAACAACTTGCTGAGTATGAATGCATTAAATATTCAATGAAATCCACAATCATTCAATGAAAGTCTTGGGCAATTTTAGGTCATTCATCGAACCTATTCACATATAGGTTCATCATCAGGATAGTTAGAATGTAAAAATATCAGGACGTTCGAGATAGATATCGCGGGACTTCTTATTCAAGTCGGATTATAAGTCCGCAAAATATGAAACTATAAAACGAACATGGCCAAATATGTTTTATTACACTGCGAGTGACAATACACACTAGCCTATAGTCCAAGGTATCTGATATCTTCTGTAGTCCATGCTATAGTTTTGAGATGACTGACTTTCTGCATATTCCTCAATATTTTTACTTATAGTTCCGTGGAGAATTGTGAACTCATTATATGAATATAGCTTATACAAATACAATAAACACGCTTCAGGTTCAAGAGAGGTATCTGCCTCTATTTAGAAACGAATCTCTCATGTCATCTAACAATAACGCAATAAACACAGTTATGTGGAAAAAACGTTGAATTCTTCGCCACTATTATCCGACGGCAAAATGTTGTTAGGCAATACATTTCATTCTGGTTTTACAGAAACGTTACCTCTTTACGTTGATTCATCGTAACTAAGACGTTGCACACGTGATGTGGATTCTACTGAAATATACCGTTTTATTTTAGTTCCGACGTAACCATACATATCAACATTTTCTCAACGTTTTTTATACGTTTTCCACCAATTTCAATATAACGATGTGTTTTGGTTTCAAACTCGGTTTCGAAGTGACGTTGCTGAGATACGAATTCTAAATTAGCACTAAAGTTAAACATAAAATTTCAGAATTCAGGTTATGTTGATCTTCTAGATTGAATCAACGATGATTAATATTATCGTCGAATCGATATTACTACCAATTCTGAACGCAACTGAAACGTTTCTAAGACATGAGGTGAAGTAACGTTTCCATTTTTACTACGGATCAATCTTTATTATTATTGCAAATTGATTATTAATGATTAGAATTAACAAAATACAAACACATGATTCATAATATGTATAGTCATCCTAGATATCAATGAAATCTCAATCAGATTGGTATTACTATTTGGTTTTCCACTCGAGACTCGATGGCGTCATGCATCCGTTTCTTCGCAAACTTCAACCAGTCCTTGGTTGCGTTTGCAATACGGACATCAGTTGCTGCTCCAAACTCCCTTTCGACAGCAACTTTGTGAAATTATTCAATATGATTATTATGAAAGACGAAAATAGAAGCTGATATATCATATTGAGTGCATCAGCTCCTTTTCCTTTACCTTTCTAGTTGTGATGGCAAGCTAGCTCATCGGTTCTCAAAATCCTCCTTGTGTGGTTCTCTGGGGAATTGCCAGCAATTGACTTTTATTTTGTGATCTGAAATTTCGGCTCATTTGTGATCGTAACAAATTCTGACAAATCAATATTCAGTTTTCATGAAAGGTCTGTATGTATATTCTCATCATTCCTATCAATGTTCCAGAATATTTACTACCATATTTGAACCATTTTCCTTCAACCTTTATTTCATCATTACATTTGAAACGTGTTCTATCTACCTTCTATACACGTTTCATCACTGTTATTAGAGGTGGTTAGACAAAACGACTCCAATAATGAAATGTTATATTTCTCGACCAAAAATGTATTACTATGAAATATAATAATAACTACATGCTATAAAATTTGTGCAAGTTGGACTGAGTACCTACCTTATATGAGAGTTTGTGAACCTTTCGACCTGACAGAATCGAATAAGTAGGTATAGCTTTTGGGAGGTGGAGGTACTCATTTTGCTGTAAATTGAGCATATCTGCAATCGCCTTCAAGAATAATACATAGGTAGGATTAATTCAATATTAAAGTGGGTACTCACCAATCTCCTATCTTTTCACATCCACACATAACCTCTGAAGAATCTCAATGTTTTGGCGTCAGTCAAACTGTGAGCATGTGAGTGGCGGTGGCGGACAGCCGATAGTTCAAGTTCATTCCTTACGATATACTTTTGAATATTTCATTCAACGGATCAAACACGTATTTTCAAAACGTTCAATAAACGTTGAAAGAGTTGAAATTGAAACGTGGTATACATATAGAGGTTTCTCAAAGATATAGTTGTTATTCAATAATTCATTCAACTGATCGTTCACGTGATTTCATAACGTTCAATGAACGGGAAAAAAAGTGAATGAAACGTGAAATAAAGGTTCCTAGAAGATATAGTTGCTATTGGAAAATTCATTCGACGGATCATACACGTAATTTCAAAATGTTCAAAGAACGTAAAAAAGTATCTATCAATTCTGAACTGGAACATTATAGATTGCTCAAAGATGAAGTTGTTATTGAATAATTCATCCAACGAATCAGTCACGTAATCAACGTAATTTCATGACGTTCAATAAACGTGAGAAAAGTAGTGATTGAAACGGAGAATAAAGGTTGCTCAGAGATATAGTTGCTATTGAAGAATTTTTCAACAGATCATACCCGTAATCTCAAAACGTTTAATGAACGTAAAAAAAGGAGTAATTGAAACGTGAAATATAGGTTGCTTGAAAATATACTTGTTATTCGATAATTAATTAAACGGACTTCATACGTGATTTTGAAACGTCGAATAAACGTGAAAAAAGTAGTACATAATTGGAACGTGAAGGAGCGGTTGCTCAAACATTCAGGTTACTAAACAATGTCATATTCGGCGTTACTGTAATGTTTTTTGAACCTCATTGAATATACGTTGAGGAAGTACGATGAAGACACGCAATAAATGGAGTTTATGATATTTAGAAACGAAAAATTCGTTTTTAATATGTTCAATAGTTTTGACGATTGCACGAAAAATATACTGTGCCCCGGCCGGGAACGGAACGCCAAATAGTAGATTGTATTGTTGGAATCAAAAGTGACACTTTGCGAGTCGAACAAAGTCACTTTTGATCCGAAGGGAACATGCTATTTTTTCTGCAACCGAAACAATTGACTCAAATAAATATGTGAAGTAACCACCAATGCCGTGCCACATGTATGCAATGCAACAAATATTGACAAATAATCCGTGTGGTGAGAATATTCTACATGCATTAACAGCAGGTTTGGTTTTCAAGGATGTTCGAATTGTAGTTTCAAGTTAAATACAACCACAGAGTGACATATTTGTGTATGGACCAGGTGCTCTAATGGGAAATACCGCGCCAGTGCCAGCTATA